GCAACTCATAAGATTAGATTAAACACTAAGAGGGCAGTAAGCAAAATACATTTATGTTAATGGTATTTTTTAAATGGCTTTAAAAATCCAAAAGCAAGGGAAAAATATAAATCTGGTGATTTTAAACTAATTATTCAAGTGATCTGAAAGTTGGTTGTATCTAATTCCCCCACTGTAAGATCCCCATAATACTCACACTTGAATTCAAAGTTGGCTCACATCAAAATTAATACTATCTCCCAGTAGGAAAAATCATTCATAACAATAATTCCAATAGCAAATAAGTGAGAAATATTTGATGCCAGTCAAAAGGTGGGAGCATCTTGATAAAGAATTTGTTATATGCAGTGTTAGTTCCAGATGAGGATGAAAGACCAGAGCTGCAGGTCACCAGGGCAGTGGCCTGGTGGTACTCTCCTATATCCTGGGGATATATGAGCATCCGGGAGGAGAGGCCAAGGGAGTAGAGCAGGGATACTTGGGGGGCTTGAGGAAGTAGGTATTTACCAACAAAGAATTTATTCATTTAAAATACCACGATGACCCAGGGAGCTCTGGTGGCCTAGTAGCAAGAAGCTGCACTGCAATCCCAGAAGTATGCAGTTCAAATCCACCAGATGCTCTGCTGGAGGAGGGGCAACCTCCTTCTGTACCAGTCAGATTTAATTTGGCAGTACACACACAAAGAATAATAAAATAAAAAAAAAATAAATTTAAAAATAAAATACCACTATGACCATATCAACCATATTTGCAAATACTTAAAATGAGAGCACAAAAAGATTTCTCCATCACCTGGGTGAGGTGATGGAGAAACCACTCACAAACCACTCTTTTGCCTTGCACATCTAAAAATTATCCTGCTTTTAAATTTTTGTATTTTCATATGTTCCAGGTTTTCTGTGGGCATTATGGTATGACAGATGTATCCACAAGTACAAATTTCCTGATGTGAGAGATTATAGAATAAATGGGGGCTCCCACATGTCACTTACCAACACAGGTACGAGAATTATTGACGTTGAGAATATAACCATGGGGACAAAAACATGTGCCTCCAGATGGGGATCTGTGGCATTGGTACTGGCAACTCAGGATGGGACATACAAACAAGCCTAGAGAGAGAAAAACACTGTTAAACTAATATCAACTATGAAGCAACAGCTTCTTGTTTTTACAAGTTAAAGTATGTAGCTGAAGTCCATCAATATCCAAGCTTTATTAAAAAAAATATTATGCAATAAAAGCTCAATTGATACTGGAGGAAAAGGTTAATCTCTCTGTGTGATGATGGAAAAACTGGCATTAATTGAGGATAATGATTGTACAACTGAGAATCATTAAGCTGTACACCTGAGATGTATTCCTCACGTGAGATTTTGTTTTCTTGGTTTTGTAGTTTTAGGGTTGAAGTTTTATGGGCTAACCAGTCAGTAAGCCTAATATTGGTTTTAGGGTTTCTGTTCTACCTTTTAGTTCATTGTGTAATACTGAGATCTTAAAAATCAATCATAAGTATGTCTTATTATCTACACTACAGAAAGAGCCAAGAACTTCCAGGTGATTAGGTTGAGAATGTACACTAAGATGATTACCACAAATGGTAGAATTTCTTTTTGTTACTTCTATTTATTAATTTGACTTTGAGTTTGAAATTTTGTACTATAACTAGTTATAT